TGCTTTGTCAAGCTTGTTCCAAGTAGGTGCTTTAGACCACTGAGCCATCTCTCCAGCCCTCTCTTCTTGTCAGACATGGTCTTGCTGTGCAGCTCAGGTTGGCCTTGAGCTCACTTTATAGTCCATGCTGATCTCAAACTCGCAGCCATCCTCCTGCTTCAGCTTCCTGAGTGCTGAGATTACAGGCGTGCATCACCACGTCTGTCTACCCTGGTAGTTTCTTATTAACTATATTTTTATTAGTACATTTGCAGTACATAATGATTACATTTATCTTGGGGAATTTGTATACACATGTAACATATCTTAATTCTTTTTTTCCCGTTCCCTCCCATTCTCTCCAATTTTTTATTTTTTTTATTTTATTTATTTTTTTTTTGGCAGAACCATGGATTGAACTCAGGCCCTTGCACTTGCCAGGGAAGCGCTTATTCCACTGAGCCATCTCCCCGGCCCCTTCCATTCTCTCCAATTTTTGATGTCTTTCTTATTTGAAAAATCTGTATTGCATTTTTTTCTTTGATCCTCTCATGTAAGTGATGGAGTTATCTGGCATTTAATAATAAACCTCATCTATTACATACATGTTACCATTTAGCATACTTATATAATCAGCATTAAATCCAATGAGAGGGGCTGGTGAGATGGCTCAGTGGTCTAAAGCACCTACTTAGAACAAGCTTAGCAAAGCACAGGGACCGCAGTTCAATACCCCAGCACCACATGCCAGCCAGCCCCCCCCCCCGGTGGGCTGAGCTGGCCACACACACACACACACACACACACACACACACACACACAAATAAATAAATAAAAAAATAAGTAAAAAATAAAAAAAGTAAATAAATATATTCAATGAGATACAGAGAAGAGTAATACATCTAAATATATAGACAGAAGCTTGGAAGTTTCAGGTGTCTTCAGGGTATACTGTATCTCTAGAAGAGGGTTCAAGATCTATATGAAAAGTTGATAAAGATTAACCCAGAATGGTATGATAATGGATGATCTTTGCATTTTCTTTCTGCTGTTTTTAAGTTTCTTCAGAAAACATGTTAAAAAGAAAAAACAACACTGCTTTGAAAATTACATATAGTTTGAAAATTTTGCTTTTAAATTTGTATTTGAGAGCTTTGTTTTTGACACGTATCTTTAGTCTCTCTTTTTTTTTTAATAAAGAAAAATATGATACTTTTAAACTTTAGTTTTGCCAGGCATAGGGACAGACGTGTGCCTATATTCTTGTACTTGGGAGGCTGAGGCAGGAGGATCATCTTGAATTGAAGGCCAGCCTGGGCTATATAGTGAGTTTAAGGCTAGCCTGAAGTACATATAGTGAGGCCCTGTCTTCAAAAGATAAGACAAAAAAATTTTAGTTTTTGTTTTTGACAAAAATTTTTTAAAGCAATATATAGAATCCAGTCTTTTAAGGACATACTCAAGGAATCTTTGATGGTAGTTTATTCTTGTTTTAAAATACTTTGGGTAGGTTATTAACAACCCATAAAGCTTTATTTTCCTTTTTAGTAAGGGAACTTGATAGAAGGCAGTATTAGGACTTGTTATATGAATTTATAAACTTTTAGGCATAAGAATCAAGCAGAATGTTTTTTTATATTATACTTATTCTTCAAAGTTATTGTTCAAGTGTCCTTGCTTGTAGGATTTCCTGTAGGCTCTTTAGAAACGTTGGTTGCTGTAATGTGTGAAATCCGATGTGCTTGCTTCCCACTTAATATACACGCATATATACATAATTTTATACTTTTTAGTTCTTCAAGTAATTTGTAGTAATTAATATCACAGTATTTGTTCGTACTATCCCAACTATTGTGAGCTTGTTTTAGTCTTTTTCAAATAGAGCAGGAGACATTTACTTTATCTAGTAATACTTCTTTTACTGCTCATATGCCAAAGTATATTTGGTGTTAACTTTATGAAAGAATTAACATCAATTCAAAATTAAAATTACTTTTTAAACAATTGAGTATTCTAGACTGATTTATGAATGGGTTTAAGAGAGGTTTATGTGCCAGTTCATCTCATTTTTCTTGATTTACTACCTCACTTTCTTCCAGCATTTCATCATGTTTTGTGACTGGGTTACATTCCTGACTTGGCTATATACTGATAATTAGGAAGATAAAGGTCTTGGTTTCATTTTTAGTACAAGACTTAGGCCACAAACATCTAATGGAGTCATGGGTAGAAAATAAGATATAAGAAATTATTGCAGACGTTTAACTTTTAAATTGCAGACTATCGGTGGTCCATGTCAAGTCATAGTTCACAAGTGGGAGACTCATCTACAACCACGATCAATAACCCCTTTAGGTATGGGCATTAACTGCATCTGTTTGAGGCATATGCATAAAGTTACTAATATGCTGCACAATGGCTTAGTGGGATTTATTAAAATTTATTCTAAATTTTAAAGTCAATGCATTATCAGTACTACAGATTTCACTTAGCATTTCTTGGATCTTTCAGCACTAAACAGTTCTTAATTGCCTTTGTAAACTTTATTAGAAATGCTTGCCTATTTTTAGTTTCTTGGATTAGATTAATTTATTATGAAAGGCTTGTTTTCATGGATGTTTTAGAAAGGTTATAAGATAATGTTCTTGACTGGGCATGGTGGTGCACACCTATAGTCCTAGCATTCAGGAAGTTGAGGCAGGAGGATCGCTATGAGTTAGAGGCCAGCCTGGGCTACAAAATGAGTCAAGGCCAGCCTGAACTGCATAGTGAAACACTGTCTCAAAGAGATAAAAACAAAAAAAGATAATATTCTACACTGAGCATCTGTGGCCTTATATTACTTGCTCAGGCTTAGATAATATTTTAGGAAAGACACAATCCAAAATAAAATCTTTCTTTCAAGTTTTTAGATTTGAAGAGTAAGAGCAAGAGAATCATTACTCACCTTATTCCTTTTTTTTTGTTTTTGTAGCTAGTAAATACTTAAGTAAACTTGAATGAATGAATCAAATTTCTTTATTGTAATTGCCTAAAATTCTTTGCTGGTTATGCTAGAATTGACATTCAGAGAGCTTATTTGTTTTAAAAATATGACTTGTGCCTAAAAATGGCATTTCTCTTCATACAATTTTTGAATTTCCTTTTCAAGACTGAAGTAGAATATGAAGTTGATTTTGCATATATTACCCACTTTGTTGTAGTGTTTACTTGTAAGTGGACTTAGTGCTGAGAAATATTTCTTTTGGTTTTTAGAGAAAGTTAAAATTTAAGGACGACTTAGTTGCCTGTTACTAGCTTAGATTAGAAAGCAGTGAGTCTTTCTGGTTTGCCTTGAATCAAGGACATATATCTTATTTAAGTAGAAGTCTCATTCCAACCTCTTTATTAGATTTTTTGAAATACATTTTGATAGTATATTTAGAAATTTTAGAAATTTTATGGAAGTAGAATTATAGTAGTTCCATACTGAGGTTGGAACATACTAAGTATTAAGTTAAAGCATCTTGCACTTAAATATGTTTTGTTACCATGGGAAATGATTTTGTTTCTGTTCTTTTAGAAAGAAATTTATGGCTTTGGGAAATAAAATTTTGAGAGCTGTGTGAAATCTACCTGAGAACCTGTATTAGGAATTGTAGCATTTATTTTAAAAACTATTTCAGACTATGTTTAAAGTAAACTGGGAAGGGAGGTAGAAAGTAATGATAATTAATATTTTACTTAGAAATGGGACTTTACAGCTTATTTAATTAACTGTTAGGAGAAGGGGATATGTTAGCACTTACTCTTTTTTTTTTTGGTAGTTCCTCACAGCTCTGTACATACAGGTAAGTTTATACCATTTGAAAAGCTTTCTAGCTGGCCATAAAGGATAGTTGAGATTTCAGGAGAATTATGTGTTAGACAAATTCAGAATGTGCACTACCTAAGAATAAGCATTTTAATTGTGCCAAGACCTTTAGTTTGAAAAAATAATAAGAGGTTCATTATTCAGCCACCTGTTAGCTCGTCCATTGGAGGGATGTAGAAGTTGTCCCGATGCCTCTAGAGTACCTCTTTGAGGGGTTTTCTTTCTGTTCCTTATGTTGTTGTGAATAATAAACCAAGTAACTACAGTGCTTGCTAGACTTTTCCAAAGAGAATTCTTTATTGAGGGCTACAATAAATATGCTTATTCACTTTAGGCTGCTTTTAAATTGTAGATTTGATATTTTAAGCTGTCCTTAAAATAAAGTTGGTAATTTTTCATTGTTCATTTTGTATAATCACAAATTTTAACAAGATTTTCTATTTTCCTTAAATTCTAGAAAATGAAATTATTATTGACGATGGACAATTTGGAATCCACAGTAAGTGACTAAGTTTTGAAAATATTTACTGAAGTGATTGAGATAAATTTCATTTGAAATATGTAGCATTGGAAGTAGAACAAAGTCTGATTTTGAAAATGAACCCTAAAAGCAAATTCTGTTAAATGATACTTTCTAGTATAATTCTTTTTTTTTTTTTTT